TGCATATCCCAAATTTACAAAACGCATTGTTTCGTATCTGATTTCCATTTGAAATCGATAAATAGTTCAGCCCTAGACTAAACTGTATATCATGTTTTTGTTACTGACCTGATGTGCCCTGCAGATGAGGTCCATGTCATGCTTCTGCAAGAATTTGGCCACCATATCTGCTCCAAACGTGAAGGACACTCCACGGTCATTCTCACCCCAGCCCAGCACATCCTTGTCCGGGTCGGCCCACAGCAGGTCACACAGCAGGCCCTGGTCAGGCACGTCTGTGGGACGCATTACCCGGCGCACCTGCTCCATCGACTGCAGGTCTGGGGAGAGGCCTAGAACACATGGAGGTACAGGTAAAGGAAACTGGCATTCAAACACTATGGGTCAAGTGCAATCAACATAATACAAAATAATGATGAGCTGTTTTCGTTTTCCAGCGACATTAAAAACTGACCTTAAATTATGTGATTTTGTGTTCCAACTAAGAATATATTTCCTAAACACCTAATGGAGAGTTTCTGATCCAGTGGACTGCATTCAGTGGGCATAAACTGATAATTCACAGCTACACTAAAGCCATTTCTTCCAAAGACTTTGATTATAGTGGCATCTGGAAATGAGGATTAAGATAAACATCAGAGCCGGTATGCATAAAACTTCAAATTTCACTCTTAAATGCGTCACAATTCTAAGAGTGACGTGATTTTGCTCCTACTCCCAGACTTAAGAATGTTTATGCATGCCACTTATTAAGTGTTAAGACTTGGTCTCAGCTCCTAAATTATTTAAGAGAGCTGGAGAGGACTCCTAAGCCAGTTAGGAGTTGAATGATGGCAGCTGCACTACGCGCACCGAGACGGAGACCGCGCACTTTCCGTCAGAGAAAGGACGTCCTGCAGACGTACGACAATAATGAATTGATAAAAAGGTACAGGCTTGATCATGATGGCATTCTTGTTGTTACCAACCTAATTAGGAAACGGGTACAATCTCCTACGTCACCTAAAAATGCACTTACAGTTGAACTGAAGGTGATAATAATGCTACGTTTTTGGCAACTGGAAAAATAATAATAATAATTATCATTATCATCATCATCATCTATTATAGTGAGGGTCATAAGAGCAATATAAGTAATGACACAAACCTGTAGCTTGCATGCTTGCTTTATAAACTGATTTCCTTTCGCGAGGTCGATAAAACATTATGCCACCTTTTTTCACATTCCTCTGCTGAACGCCTTGTCCGAGGTGACGCAGCATTTACGGAGCTTGCAATAGCCTCCTAAGCTTTTTTTGTCCGTGCTCGTAACAGCTGGGCCAAACTTTCCTCGCACTACCTCCTTCCATTTAAGCACCAATTGTGCCAAAAGAACCGTTTTGTTTGTCGTCCAGTTTGGTTTATTTTTAGGATCCAATGTCTTGCTATGAGTTCTGCGTTTGACCCATAATTTATACAACATGTGCATCTATTAGTGGAAATTGATTGGTGGTGTGCTAGGTAGATTTTCGTACAACCAATTAAAAGGTATGATCACAGAAAGGTATGTTGTATAAAGCTCTACATTAACGGTTTAATGTCACTAATAAATTCACCGTACAGCTTTAACTCAGTATTTGGGGCAGGATTTTATTTGTAGTCCTCATTTCACGACACTTAAATGCTGGCTCCGTCAGCAATTAGGAAATGGGCTTACACTTTGCTGAAAGTTACTTTATACAATGCTCTTAGGTCCTACTTTTTGCTTAGATTTTTTTTTTTTAACTCTTAAGTCCAAGTGTACAACCATTCTTAAGACCATTCTTAGGAAGTTTTATGCATACCGGCCCAGGTTTCTACCAAGAGACACCTCACAACATTTACCTTGTTTGGTAAAAATAGGGTGACACAGGGAAGATAGAATCCATACCCATGGGGAACATTACTGACTCGCCTGCACTGAGGCACCCTTTCAAACGCACACAGAGAAAGATAGATGGACAAAATACCTCCATGGCAGCAAAAAATCTTCTCATCCACAATCGCAGCCACTGGAAGGCAGTTGAAGCAGTCAGTGAAAGTCTTCCATAACTTGATGTTATATCGTCTTTTACCTGCAGGGAACCAGCAAGCATAAATATTAGTGTACCTAGAGCTGGGCGATATGGCCTAAAAATAAAATCTCCGATTTTTTCACAAAAAATACGTTTTCCGATTTTAATCGATTTTCCCCTCCCCTACTCAAAATCAAACTACAGATTACAAAAATGGTTCAAAACAAGTTTTAACTTTATTTAGCTATTTTTTACTTTAGGGTTAAAGTGCAATCCGACAAGCCATAAAAGATGCTTGTAAGTGAGATGGCAGACCACTCCATTGTAAACACTTTTAGAAACTTGTAAAAACTTCTGGAAAGCTTTCTCTATAGCTTATTTTCAAACTGGCAACAACACAATATGCCCTCAAACTTATAAATAAAAGTAATAAGTAATATTGTAATAATAATAGAAAAAAAAAACCACAATTTTATCATGTCAGCTTGGTATTAAGTAAATACTTTATGCCATTGGGCTTTTGAAAAATTGCCAGTGTTAAGAAAAATGAGGCACGTACTTCGGGTCTAAAACTTTTAGCATGTTAATGAATCCCAGCTTTTCCACAGTATGTATGGGCAGCATGTCTTTTGCACTATACATCGCGACAGCATTTGCTATCGCCTTCCATCGTGCCCGATTCTTATCATATGGCACATAGTTCGAAAATGTGTCAGCGACGGTTGCTTGCTTAACTTTGTTGTGCTGGTGCTGCGGCTATTGTCATTTCACTGGGAGCGGCACTTCTCCCACTCCGCTGCATGCCTCTGCTTTACATGCTGGAATAAATTAGTCACGGTGCTTCCTTTGGTTGCAACAGTTTTTAAAGTCTTTGCAACGAGGACTTGTTTGGTCTGTGTCCGACCTCGCAAAACCGAACCAATTCCATATTACAGATGTAGCAACACCTTTCTTGCGCACAAGCGCCAGCTTTTCCCCTGTCATTGCCATGTTGTTCGTGAATCTGCTACAGTGTTTGGGTGCGCCACGCTAATTTACCCATGAAGATTGGTGCGTCGCATTAGTTCTGCTTTTGGCGCTTGTGTGTAAAAAAAGTAATAAAATCGATTTTCATGAAAACACATTGTCCTGAACTGTAAATTTGAATTAATCGATTAAATCGATTTATCGCCCAGCTCTAAGTGTACCTAAGGAATTCACTACATACCACTAAATCAAAACAATGAAAGTGAGAAACCATACAGAGCACTGTGAGCACAGCCCTGGCACCCTTCACTTACACTCATTTATAAAAGCCATACACGTGGCTGATGGAGGCACACTGCCTCAGCACCCTTCACTTACACTCATCATAAAAGCCGTAGATGCGGTTGATGGAGGCACACTCGTGGTTGCCCCTCAGAAGAAAGAAGTTCTCAGGGAATTTGATTTTGTAGGCCAGCAGGAGGCAGATTGTCTCCAGTGACTGCTTGCCTCGGTCCACATAGTCCCCGAGGAACAGGTAGTTGCTCTCTGGGGGAAAGCCTCCATATTCAAAGAGCCGCAAGAGGTCATAGTACTGTCCATGGACATCACCTATGTAGCCATAGCAACAAAGATTTAATTTAGATACATAGAATGAAGGGCAGGCAGGCAGACACAAGATTCGCCAATTGTAAGGTGCTGGACGAGTTACATATTTCAAGCTCAGCTACATAGATTTTTTCAGTAATACCGGTGAGAAATCAGTTAATCATGCATTTATTATCTATCCTAAGTTTTGGAAGTCTTTCAATAGACAGCATCATAGAAGTGTTGGGCAGTATGACCAAAAATTTGTATCACAGTATTTATTAAGTGTCTGGCGGTATCACAGTATATGTTTTATTGATTATAACCATGCACTTAATAATTCGATAAGGATTGTTTCACTCACACGTTTTATTAGATTAATAATGTTTATATAGCTAGATAGTGACGTGTTTTACTGATTATATCCACATACAGTATTAAATTACATAGAGACATGTTTTGTTGATTACAGTATTTTTTCTTGGTAACAAAATGCATGCTTAAATTGGTATGATTTTAATAACTATTACCCAATGAACCCAATGATAAAATAATAATAATAGGGATTTCGCTTTACCTAAATGCATTTAATTGCAGAGTGGCTCAGAGGGCTAATTCTCTGTGCCTGTGCTAGTTCAAGCCTGGTTTAGGCAGAATAGTCACATCTCTCTAGGCCTCTGAGTAAAGCCCTTAACCCCCAGCTCCAGGGGCACCACATGTTGGCTGCCCCTGCAGTGACCCCCAAGATATGGGGCACAAGATGGGGTAGGTGAAGAGAACAATTACAAGCTACCTGTAATTTATCATTACACATAATCTAAATTTTCAGGCACAGACTGAAGCAGTAGCTATAAATACTGCAATGCTGAAGGGTTCTATATGGAGAATTATCGCATTATAAAAAGTTTAACTATTAGAACGGTATGCGCCATTAACAGGGGTCCCCTCAATACACTCTGCACAGCAATCCATAGCACTTCTAGCAGCGAATAATATTTAATTGCCTGCCTATTGAAGAGTTACAGTTGTTCAATCTATGTTATGGTATGGTGGTGTATGAAAAATACATACCATATGGGAAATTAAAACCAGTATACAGGCCAAAACTAGGCACACATTAGAAAAGTGAAAGATGATTTTAGAAAAGGCACCCAACTACCCCATCATTCAACTCAAGAGTAAATAAACCCACCTGCTGTTTTCAGGTTTTTTTTTTTTTTTTAAACAGATGGCATTATCATCATTATGACCCAGCAAGCCCTTCAACTCACCACAGATCTTGAGTGGTGCTTCAAGTTCAAGCAAAATTGGTTGACTGAGGAAAATCTCACGGGACTTGAGACAAAGGCCACGGATCTCATTTTCCGTAAGCTGGACATTCTTGCCTGGCCGGGAGCCTTTAACTGTAGAGGGTCAAGCACCACAGTGTATGATTAAATAAAAACAATACACTCTGGAAGAAAAGGAAAAAAACTCAATAGAATTACAGTACTGCATGCAAGTTGGAACCTGGATTAGGTTGGTTAAACCCCATAATCACTCACTGTCTATTTATCAGGCTTACACAGCATTTTCCATGTAATCTTATCACTAAGGTGCGGCATTTCCAGGTATAATTAATGTTACATTTGAACAGAGCACACTGACAGTGTTTGTATGGTCCTTTATCTGGTTCCCTCCCACATTCCAAAGAGTTGTGAACTGTCGACTCTGGACTGCACATAATGTTAGGTTTGATATGACATGCCATTATTCCTTTTATAATTTCTATTAATATGGCAGCCCCTGCCAAATTATCACAAGGAAAACTGCTGTCCTTCCCCAATGAACAGTAAGAGGAAAAACCCCCATGCAATGAAAGGAAACAAAAGATGAAATGACAGAATGTTCTGAACTTGTGTGGAGTGAGTAGAATATACAAGTGTAAGACATTTTAGAAAAATGCTTCCTGTGCATCACCCAAATGCCCAGTAGAGACTGAGTGGATCTTTCACCAAGCTCTTGGCCTGGGTTTTGTCCTGGTTGTTTACCTGAAGGATTCACCCAAATCCAGCAAATCCAACCTCTCAGGCTTTGAGTGCTACCTTACTGTTTTAGCTTAGCTGCTTAATGTGGGGCTTACAAACACAACGATCATAATGGTACAATCATGTATCCCCCTGTTTAAGGGTGTTGTGGAGTTTACATGCAATTTCCTCCATCATACTGCCACCCTTGTTCTATGCGGTGTGGTGGTTTTGTCCAATCAACCTCTTCCTCAATCTTGGCTTAATGTCAAAATTAAACAATAAGTTCCACCCTCCCATTTCCTGAAACCACTTGTCCTATTCAGGGTTGTGGGGTGTCTGGAACCTATCCTGGAGACTATGGGCACAAGGCATGGAACAACCCAGGATGGGGTGCCAACCCATATCATGGCACACTCTCACACTACTGCCTATAGGCAATATGGTAACTCCAATCAGCTTCAGCCATCTTTTTGGACGGGGGGGGGGGACCAGAGAAAACCCCAAGATGGCATGAGGGTTCCAGGGGTGTGAGGCAATAGTGCTGACTTAAGGATAAGTTGAAAACTGTAATATCTAATAAAAATACACTTCAAAGTATTAAATTACGCGTCTCAACTGTGTTTGACTAAAAAACTAAAGCATTTTAACCCCAATTCATTTCCAAAGCACGTACATTTTAAAAAGGCACGCAGGACAACTACGCAATGGTCTTTCACAACTACCCCAAATAGACAGACAAACATTTCCAGTGATTTCCCATCCAAAGCGTCAGTCATCCAAAGATCCACAGCCTCGCCAATTTTAACGGAGACATGCAACATCAAAAGGTATAACTTTTCCTCAGTATTTTCATTATTACCCACCCCCTGCAATTATTTCATGCAAGATACCAGCGATATCTCACTGCAAACATTAATGTAGTAACAGACTCACTTCAGGAGACCCTCAAAGACTTAGAAACGCTGAGCTGTGAGGTACTTGTAGAACACATCTTTCGTCGCACGCTTCCACGCTCCCCAAGATCTTGGTAAATTTGGTCATTTTTCGATGGTTATATGAATTTTTTACGATTCTTACCTTCAAGAAGACGCTGAATGATGGAATCAATATTTAATTTTTCCGGCTCCGCCATTTTACTACTTTGTAGTTTTCAGTCGGTTTTTCACGTTTCGTTTTTCGAAATCGTTAATATCTCGAACTTACTAGCTACGACCCTAACAATGGGGTAGGGTGCTCAACTCTTTAATTGGCCAGATACTAGCGAACCTAGTCGACGAATTATTTTTATCGGTCACCACACCATAACGAAAATATAAAGATGTCCTAGTGAATCACTTTAAAAATATAGTTCGAAGCGTATTGTAATGCCTCTTCTCCTTTTCTTCCTGTTTCAGAACTTCCAAAGAGCAGTGATTCAGGGGCGGAAAGAGCGGCTTATGACGTAAGGGCTCGTTTTCTTTTCTCCCAAAAGATTGGCCTGCTGGTTATATTCGAACAGAAATCTCGGATTCCTATTGGACATGATTCCGCGTAGGCATCAAATAGCAGACACGATTTCGGCCAATGGGTGTCATCGTGCAGCTTAACCTTCACCTTATATATAGTGACTTATTGGGTTAGTTTAAGTAACTTCACAGCACATCGAACTGGGTGTAATACATAATGGTAATTTCATTTAGCACATAGAGAAAAACATTAAAGTAATGTCACTTTTGACTGTAAAATTGACGGCCATACGCCATATTTTACGTCGCTCTTTCTGAGGCACATCGGGCATTAATGCCCTGTGCAAAATAAAATCTTTTAAAGTGGAGTAAAAGTCGAAGGTCTCCATCATTATCCGGTTAAACTTCCTCTTTCCTCTCGCTGTCGACGTTCTCATCAAAAATCAACATACGATGAAATGTAACAGGGTACCGTAAAAATAGCACGCCTCCTTCCAGAAGTCGTAAGCCTGCGCATGCGTAGTAGCAGAAGTTACATTTTCGGTAGGTGTAACATTTTCGGTAGTGACAGTGTGCGATACTACAAGATTTGGTATCGATCCGATACCAAGTAAATACAGGGCCAGTATCGCCGATACCGGTTTCGATATCGATATTTTTAAATAATAAAGGTGGATGTATCATCAAATTGCTAAATCTGAATTAATTTTCATTACCTTCAAGTGTTTTTGTGTTTTTTTTAATTAATTAGTTAAAACCCAGGACAGAATTTGGGCAAAGTTTATAAGTAAATAAATACTTTATTATAAAACACAAGTAACACAAAATGTCTTTTTCTTAAATAAAGTGCACAAAATTAGATAACCGGGTATGAAAAAATCCTCTCAGCTGGCACTGAGGATGCAACCACTCCCAGGTGCAAGTTTGCTCAAAGAAGGCAATGTTGATAAATTTTTCGATGAGTCACGTGACGGTACAACGTCAAAAGACAAGAGGGAGGAGGAGTAGCAAAGCCTGCTCAGCGCTTTGACAGCCATGAGCAGCAATTGAGAGCAGCAGCGGTGACACAGACACCGGAGACTCAGGAGAGAAACTGAAACTAAAGTATCGATCTCATTGAACTGGTATTGATCAATATCAATACCAACATTATTATCGCGGTATATTACCGATACTTGGATCGATCCTCCCACCACTAACGGGGGGGAAGATGGTGAGCCGGAAGGGTGGTTGTTACAGAGGTGCTGTTCACATGTCCTGAAAAACTTAAATTAGTGTCCTTAAAAAATTGAACCAAGTTTTGTGTTGTTACGTCTCTACGAATACCATTGAGACCCAGATTGAAAATAATTAGACGTTAAAATTTCATGTAAGTACCGTATTTTCCTCCCGTGAGCTAGTTGCTATGCATAACAGTACTGCTTCGAGTTCAAATGATCACAGCTATATAATAGAGAGCTCACCCGTCATTACGAAAAGAAAGCCTCCTTCGACCCCAACCAAAATTCAGGCTCTACCTACCAAGGTAAAGGTGTCGCATGGAGAAGACGCGGACACGGCTGCTATAGTTGCAGCTGTAAATAAACTCACGGAGAGGATTGACGGATTCGGAGTGCAGCTTCGCGAAATCTTCATTATGCTTACTAATTGTGACTAAACTTGTGGAAATTAATGCTGCAGAGATTAAAGAAATGTAAAAGCAAATTGCAAGTGTTTGAGAGAGAAATGCCTCGTCTCACGAAAGAAATGAATTGAAGGAGAGGGTTTTAGAGATGGAACATGCACAAAAACGGTGCACGCTTATGGACCAAGGTTTGAAGGAAAAGGACCGGGAAAACATTTGCAGCGATATAGTAGAAATTCTGATGAAAATCACGCTGCAGTGGGAGCCGTTGATGGACTTTGCTCTTGATTCTGTGTATCGCCTAGGAAGAAGAGACGAAGGGAGACATCGCTAGATAATACTCCAGTTCACCTCGAGGAATTTTCGTGATAGTACAACCCCTGGCAAAA